TCCTAAGAGTTAAAATTATTAAATGTCTCTGGAGTAATCAGTAAGTCAGACTGAAAAAGATGTTGCGACTCCTCCTCCTCTCCCAGCATTTCTGGTAGGGAGATTTAAATAACTAGAAGGATTTGCCTCATTTATGCTCACATAATCCTCTTGCTGCAGCCAAGTTTCTGTAAGGCATCATAAGTCAATGTGATTTTTTCAAATCATGTCATTAACTAGCAGACTTTTTGAAGAAAGATATGTTATGTTAAATAAACCACATTTAATCGTTTTAACTTTTTCCGCAATTGGATTTATTTTAAATTTGATTAGATTATCATGATTTACTCCTTTGGGAATCTTTTCTAATTTATTCGATTTTGGTAGTGGGCAAGACATTGTTTGGCTGGAGAAATGACTGAGTAACAGTAGAAAGGCTGCAAAAAGGTGTGTCAAACTACGACTCTGCTTCCTGGTCTGCACCCTGGGTTGGCAAGGTTTTGGAGGACTAATAAATTTGGTCAGATTCCTAGATAGAGGTTGCCTTACGAACTAAAAGGCGTTCTATAGCTCACAGCAAGGAGTCTAAAAAAATAAGATCAGATGATATTCTGCAGAAGCCATGATAGGTCTCTTACCTGCCCAGGAAGTACTTTGCTATGCATTTGGCCACTGTCATCCCTCTTTAACTTCTAGAGCTTTTTTTATTAATATTACTAGTTTAATTTTGGCCTTTGTATATTTATATGGCCATTTGTTTTTTTAAACATAATTTCACATCAAACCCATGACACAACCAGTAGTGCATGTGGAAAAGTACAAGTTTATATTTTTGCATGGACTGCATGAAACACTTCTTATTGTCAGTTTAAAATAGAGGCATACTATCGTGAGAGAAGTCTAAAAGCCCCCAAGGTTCTGTTAAACATGGATTTTATTTGCACTGCAAATATATTAGCCATAAAGTGTGAAACAAGCACAACGTTTTAAGTCATAAAATAGGAATTACACAGGGATAATTCAGTTACATATTAACCAGTCAGGTATGATATGGATCAAAATGTCCATGCTCCTATCATAGCAATAGATAATGAGCAGGACAAAGTTCTTGATTGGTACCAGCTTGCAGCAGTGCACCATGAATGGTTAACATATTTATTGCATAATGTCTGCAAATAAAGACTAGTATATTCACTTTCCATGATGCATTTATGTAAATTTATCAACTTTTGTGTATGGTCTAGTATATTCTACTGTAATAAAGAAGAAAACCTGACCAGTCTGCCTGACAGCCAAAAACAACACAGTAAAACTGAAGAAACTTTTACCCAGTAAGCCATGGGTGCATAGGCCAAACATGGGAGGAGCAGTGACGGCAGTGCATTTGTATCATCCTATTAATATGCAGGACACATCAACAGGCTACTGCTGATTTCATAACAACTGAACAAGCTGGACGTTTATGCTGTTGAAGAAAAGAAAA